CGTGCCCCAACTCTGACAGGTTTCCCCAAATATCCTATTGCATGCGTGCTGGGAAGCGTGCGACTGGCACCTGTGTAATAGCGGGGGCTTCCCCTTTTAAAAAAAAAAAAAAAAAAAGCCTCAATGTCAATGGCCTTCGGGACCAGGACAAGAGGCGCCGCCTCTTCTATCTCTTGCGCCGCGACCGGTGGGACGTCATCCTCCTCCAGGAGACCCACCATAGCACTCCAGAAGAAGGGGCGGCATGGGCACAGGAAGGGCCTGACGGGTTCTGCTCCAATTGGAGCGGGCCCGCATTCTGGTGCCATCACACCTCGCAGTCTCGTGGCGTGGCTATCTTGTTCCGACACACAGCCGAGACTTCCGCAGTCACAGTGCGTCACAGCAGCGCCACCGGACGCACTCTCTTGGTGGACTTCACTTTCGGCGGCCATCCTTACACGGCAGGCTGTGTGTATGCGCCGGCAGTGACAGCAGAGCGGCCAGCCTACTTCATGCAGGGGCGTATCACTCTCTTGTACAAGGGGAAGGGGGCAGACAGGGAGTCTCTAGCCAGCTACAGGCCCATCACGTTGCTCAACACCGACTACAAGCTCGCGGCGCGGGCGATCGCCAGCCGGATCGGGCCGCTGCTGAATCAGGTGGTGGATGCCACACAGACAGGCTTCCTGCCTAAGCGCTGGGCGGGGGACAACGTGCTGGCACACCTGGAGGAGATCAGCTACCTGGAGGCCACACACCAGCCAGGCGTGCAGGTCTTCCTGGACTTCGAGAAGGCCTTCGATCGCCTTGACAGGGCCTGGATTGAGCGGTGCATGGCTGCGGTGGGCTTCGGGCCCGGTGTGCAGCGGTGGGTGCACATTCTGCACTCCGGCACGACCGCGCGAGTGGCCTTCAACGGCTGGCACACCGATGCCTTCCCGGTGGCCGCCGGCGTCTTCCAGGGAAGCCCCCTCTCGCCGCTGCTGTTTGTGCTTGCCGCGCAGCCGATGGCCGCGCATGCCAGGATGCTTGCAGGCCAGCTAGCTTTCCAGCCCATCAGACTGCCTTCAGGGGAGCCAGCACCAGTCATGCACCAGCATGCGGACGACACCAGCGTGCACGCGCGGACTCCCCGGGATGCTCAGATCGTGCTGGGGGCCAGCGTGGGCCTCCACTGCGCAGCCACAGGAGCCAGGCTGCAGCGCAGCAAGAGCCAGGCCCTAGGGCTTGGCAGCCTCAGCCATCTCGCCGGGCCCGATCCAGTCACGGGGGTCACCTTCGCGGCTTCGAGCGACGGCGTCAAGCACCTGGGCATTCCCTTGTCCACCCAGCCAGCTGCAGCTGCCACAGCCCTATACACAGCCATCATTGAGAAGGTGGAGGCCCGCATCGCCCGCTGGTCCGGCTTCAGACTCAGCCTGCTGGGCCGAGCGTACGTCGCAAAACAGGTGCTGGCCTCCATGGTCACCTACCATGCCACCTTCATACCGGTGCCACAAGACTTGCTACAGAGGCTCTGCAGAGCCATCCACACTTTCGTCGCGGCGAACCGGCCGGTGACCCCTGGCGCAGCGGCGGCGCTGTTCCCAAGCAAGGACGTCTGCTTCCGCGCGGCCGCACACGGCGGCATCGCGCTGGTGGACATCAAGGCCCAGATCCTGGCTCTCCAGGCCAAGGTGGTTTTTTTTTTTTTTTTTTTTAAAAGGGGAAGCCCCCGCTATTACACAGGTGCCAGTCGCACGCTTCCCAGCACGCATGCAATAGGATATTTGGGGAAACCTGTCAGAGTTGGGGCACGCAGAGCACTCCCGCAGGAGGATAATGCGATACTGAAGAGAAGCGCAAGCATGAAGGCATACCACAGAAAGGCAACAGAAAGGCTCCTAGCGATGGACATGTCCCAAGCACCAGAGGGTAACCTCATCCCCAGAGGCGCACTCCAGCCCGCCGGCAACGCAACACCGCTGAGGTGACGTTGGAGGACCCACGGGGCAAGCCTAGGGCTTGCAGCTGGAGGCAGGGGTCACAGCAAAGCAGGCAATCATCAATCACTGGCAGGCAATTATGGATGTGCGGGCAACCAGTGGTGGAACAGACATGAAAGGCACGTTTATACGGTTGGCCGACAGGGATGGAACAGGATCGCGTTCGGACCCATTACCACTAGGTGCCGCTCGGGGCTGGCAATGTGACCCTAAACTATGCCTCAATCTGCCAGCAAGGTGGGGCACAAGCAAACGGTTTTTTTTTTTTTTTTTTTAAAAGGGGAAGCCCCCGCTATTACACAGGTGCCAGTCGCACGCTTCCCAGCACGCATGCAATAGGATATTTGGGGAAACCTGTCAGAGTTGGGGCACGCAGAGCACTCCCGCAGGAGGATAATGCGATACTGAAGAGAAGCGCAAGCATGAAGGCATACCACAGAAAGGCAACAGAAAGGCTCCTAGCGATGGACATGTCCCAAGCACCAGAGGGTAACCTCATCCCCAGAGGCGCACTCCAGCCCGCCGGCAACGCAACACCGCTGAGGTGACGTTGGAGGACCCACGGGGCAAGCCTAGGGCTTGCAGCTGGAGGCAGGGGTCACAGCAAAGCAGGCAATTATCAATCACTGGCAGGCAATTATGGATGTGCGGGCAACCAGTGGTGGAACAGACATGAAAGGCACGTTTATACGGTTGGCCGACAGGGATGGAACAGGATCGCGTTCGGACCCATTACCACTAGGTGCCGCTCGGGGCTGGCAATGTGACCCTAAACTATGCCTCAATCTGCCAGCAAGGTGGGGCACAAGCAAACGGTGGCATATGGGAGATATGAAGCCGCAAATGAGGCGAAAAACAGGTAGGCTGGTGAGAACTCGACCAGATACACACACCCACCACATTGGAGGCGGGGATAGGCAGGAGGCATCATGTCCAAGGTCCTAGACACCCGCTCAGGTTCAAGGGTGGATACTGGGGTTGGAAACCCTAAACCCTTCAGATAGCCTTCAATGAACTACTGTGAATGGTGAGGAGGACAGACACTAAGGCAGAAGGCCACGGATGACAGGCCAAGGGGATTGTTGGGGCTGCTGGTGAGACAGAAACATCGGAGGATCACTGGAAAACTATTGATAGCCTAAAGCCCTGGGCAGGGTGGTCTTCTGTAAGCTTGCGCCAACGCTCTGGCTCTCCGGCACGGTACTCCACAGGTAGCGGGGCGCACGATGGATCCGTCTGGCCGAGGGATACCCAAGGGGTGAGCCGCGCAAACACGTCCGGTGGTGGGCGAGGCCACCGGCACTGGGTGGCGAGGCCAGTGCCCCAGGGGTGAAGGAGGCACCCCCGGGGCCGTGTTGGGCCGAGCTCGACAGGTCCCTCGACCAGTGGAAGCACGTGACTCGGAGCCCCATTCCGCGCTGGCAAAGGTTAGAGGTAGGAGAGGCGCAAAGCTTCTGGTAGGCAATCTGTGGTCCCAGGGCTCTAAGGCAAAAGGGGTCTCAGACAAGGAACGACAGGCCGGGCTTTGCCGGGGTGGGATCGGGACTGGTGAAAGGTTAGTCATCCGTGCCTGACTATGGTATGACGAAGGCTCTTAGCGCCCATGTGCCCAGAGCACCTATCGCAAAGGCCCCCCTAAGAGAGGGTGTGAGTTCAACACAAGAATCGACACGAGCGGGTGTCATGGCAGAAGGCCAAATGAGAGCATGGTCATACAGATAGCCAAGTTAGAGCCGTGGCCGGCTGGGTACAGTGAATGGTGGATCGGAAGCGTCACGCTGGAAGCGGCACGGGATGCTGGGCACTCCAGTGGATGACTGGTTGCGCGCCCGGCAGCTCCTCCAGCGCGCAGAGGACCGCGCGGTGGCACCATCGCGCCGCAAACTGCTCCCTGGTGATCATCGGGTCGCGTCCGCGAAGCCAGTCGCTGAGCACACCTGCTGTCTGCCGGACGTTGACGGTCGCGAGCCGCCAATCGGCAAGCAGGGCCTTCTTGCAGGAAGACAGGATGCGAGCCGCAACCGCTCCGGGGGTGATCGCCGCCGCATCTGGCTGGTGGCGGCCGCGCTGATATGCTGCCCACAGCTGACAGATTGTAGCGAGCCGCAGGCGATCCCAGAGCTGCCTGAGCTGCCGCGGCGGTCCCCAGATCCTGGTGTCATCGGCGAGAAGAAGGTCGGCGCTGCGCGGTGGCGCGTCGTCTCCGGTCACCGCGGCCCATGTCGCTGCGAACCAGTCCCACACCCCGGCGGCGAGAGGGCAGATGATGAAGACATGGGTGAGTGTGGCCAGCTGACCTGCACAGCTCGGATGCGGGCAAACGTGACCGGCGGGATCGGCGCGGTGGACGTGACGCGCGAAGCCGCCGACGAAGAGCTGGCCATGCAGCAGCCTCCACGCTGTCACGCGCTGCCGCCGGTCCAGATGGGAAGCGTGCACCACTTGCCACACATGAGCCCAAGGTGCTGATGGGTCTGCTGTGACAGCAGCAGCAGGATCAACAGTGACATCTGCTCCCTGTGGCACTGGTGAAGGGCCCGCTGGCGCGCCCGCAGGCCCGCCGCGGTCCCGCAGCGGAACCGGACGTGGTTGCGGCGCAGCCATCCAGATCGCCCAGGAGGAGGGATCAGGCTGCCCTCGAGGCCTCTTGCCTAAGACCTGCGACGCGGTACCAGCAGCTGCAGCCCTGGCCTCCCATCGCGCCTCGAGCGCCCGAAGGCCGCTGCGCTGATCATCTGTGGTATCAGCCCAGATGGCTGGTCGCAGCGGGCCCGCCGGGCTGGCCTCCCCCTTGCTGATCCTGTGAAGCACCTGTCGCCGCGCGGTGGCCTCCCTCACCACAAACTCATGTGCCGGCCGCGTGCCGAGCCCCCAAGCCTGAGGGTCCTGTACCTGGGATCCCCAGAGGCCAAAGAAGTTTTTTTTTTTTTTTTTTTTTAAAAGGGGAAGCCCCCGCTATTACACAGGTGCCAGTCGCACGCTTCCCAGCACGCATGCAATAGGATATTTGGGGAAACCTGTCAGAGTTGGGGCACGCAGAGCACTCCCGCAGGAGGATAATGCGATACTGAAGAGAAGCGCAAGCATGAAGGCATACCACAGAAAGGCAACAGAAAGGCTCCTAGCGATGGACATGTCCCAAGCACCAGAGGGTAACCTCATCCCCAGAGGCGCACTCCAGCCCGCCGGCAACGCAACACCGCTGAGGTGACGTTGGAGGACCCACGGGGCAAGCCTAGGGCTTGCAGCTGGAGGCAGGGGTCACAGCAAAGCAGGCAATCATCAATCACTGGCAGGCAATTATGGATGTGCGGGCAACCAGTGGTGGAACAGACATGAAAGGCACGTTTATACGGTTGGCCGACAGGGATGGAACAGGATCGCGTTCGGACCCATTACCACTAGGTGCCGCTCGGGGCTGGCAATGTGACCCTAAACTATGCCTCAATCTGCCAGCAAGGTGGGGCACAAGCAAACGGTGGCATATGGGAGATATGAAGCCGCAAATGAGGCGAAAAACAGGTAGGCTGGTGAGAACTCGACCAGATACACACACCCACCACATTGGAGGCGGGGATAGGCAGGAGGCATCATGTCCAAGGTCCTAGACACCCGCTCAGGTTCAAGGGTGGATACTGGGGTTGGAAACCCTAAACCCTTCAGATAGCCTTCAATGAACTACTGTGAATGGTGAGGAGGACAGACACTAAGGCAGAAGGCCACGGATGACAGGC